CCTGAGCACGGCTGGGTATGACCTCTATAAACCAAACCAAACCAAATAAAACCCACTTTCTTGTCATCCTTGACTCATGGCAACCTGGCATTCCCCGACTGTGTCATGAGTCCAGCTGATCTTTTCACTTGGTGGATGTCATTCAAACTTGTCTCCAGTGCAGCATCGCCAGAGAAGAAGGATAGAAGGATCAATTCCTGAGCCTCTTTAGTCTGGGGGCAGGGCTGAGAATCTGCATTTGATACCCATTTCCTCACCAACCTAATTCAAGTGGACTGCGACTCCCACTGTGAGAAGCACAGCCTTTAGAGGGTGGGAGCCTCTTTGGACTTTGTCTCTTTGTCATTCCGGCCCCTTTCTTCCCGTGACCCCTCTCCCGACCCTAGCTGGCCCTCATCACCTCACACCTGGGCCACAGCAACAGCTGTCATGCCTTCAGCTAGCCCTTCTCTGCCCCAGCCTCTCCAGTTGCCGGAACCCATCTTTGGCAAATATCTTTGGCATCACATCACTTCCCTGTGCAAGTGCCACCCACTCTCGCAGACCTTTTAGATCCTATGTCAAGCCTTAGGCTTCGAGCTGGTCAAACTAGCCTCGTACCCCACCTCCCCCATGAAACCCTCTGTACTACTTCCCTCTTCCTCCTATGTTCCTGCACTCCTATCTTTCCAGGCTCATTGTTCATATTTAGTCTCCTGCTAGTCTCTGGACTAGTTGGGGTGGTTGTCTTTCTCTCTCCAAGGTCTCACTGGAGGGATAATAAAAATGTCTTGAGATTCTTCAGCCTGTTTCTTAATGCAGTGTCTCCCTTCCCTGACTTCTGCCTCTACCATTCATTTGCCATAGGATATCTAGAAAGTTGCTTGACCTCTCCCTGCCTCTATGCTCTCCTTTTGTCTTCATTAAAAATGGGAAACAGGAATCTGAGGCTAGAGAGATAGCACAGGGGGTAAAGCCACTTGCCTGGCGTGTGGTCGACACTGGATTCAGTCTCGAGCACCAATAGGGTCCCTTAATTATAGCCAGGAGTGACCCTTGAGTGCAGAGTCAGAAGTAAGCCCTGAGCCATAGCCAGGTGTGACCCAATTCCCCCCACAAAAAAATTAAATTAAATTTTGTAATTAAAAATGGGAATCTCTGGGGGCTGGAGTGATAGCACAGTGCGTAGGGTGTTTGCCTTGCACTCAGCCAACATGGCCAACCCAGGTTCTATTCCCAGCATCCCATATGGTCCCCCGAGCACCACCAGGAGTAATTCCTGAGTGCATGAGTCAGGAGTAACCCCTGAGCATCGCCGGGTGTGACCCAAAAAGCAAAAAAAAAAATGGGAATCTCAAGCACACTTGCCTGGCTGCCTTGTGGAGAAGACTGGGGGTACTGAGGGAGAACATTGTAGTAGAGCACCTACCCTGCAGATGGAAGGACCCAGGTTTGGATCCCTGACACCACACTCATGCAGTGGGAGATCCTGGAGGCACAGTCACTTGCCATCCCCAGCGCTGAGACTAAGTGTGTGGTCTTCAGTGGCCCTTTTTGTATCTTCAGTTGAAAACACCATAACTCAAGTTTGTGACCCCCAGGGAGCACCACAACTAAGCATTGGCCCATCGTAACCCATAACCAAGTGCACAGTCCCACTGCAAACACCATGACCAGGTATGCTAGCTTGGCGTCCCAGTGCATGGCCCCTGCTCATCACAACCACCACTACCAAAACAAAGAGCATGCAGGGAAAGATAATGAACAGTTCATATCAAATGACTCAGGAGTTGCGGAGATAACTTTGGATGCAGGAGTCCTAGGTTAGATTTCTGGCACCACATGGTTCCCCTAGCATGCCTGGAGTGCCTCCTTCTCAGCATCCCTAACTGTGACCCGAAAAGGAATCAAAGGGGACTTTAGAACAGTGTCAGGCACAGTGTTTTAGCATTAGTAATTATTGTTATCAAGGCCCCTTTCAGGCTGCTCCTTCTTGGAAACCACTTCTGTTTGGAAGTGCTAAGTGATGGGAGTTTTCTCCCCAACCTTGCTTCGCTGAGCAAAGGTGCTGAAGGATGAAGTATCTGGATTCCAGTGAACTCCTCTGCATGACAAGCTGAGGAATCTGGCTGCCAGCAAAGCTCATTATGTTCATTAATGTCTAACCAACTTCGAGAAGAGAGGGTGAGGTTTAAAAGCCAGATTTTTTTTTCTAGAATGAATAAAATGGTGTTAGGATCACTTCAGTTGCACTAAGGGACAACAGAGTGTCCTTTCCTGAGGTCTTTCTCAAGTCCTTCTCTCTCCACAGGTTCCACTTGCTCCCTGGATGCCTCCTCAGAGCTTCTCAGGAGCGCCTTCCTTCACAGTGCTTTCCAGTTCGAAGGCCTTGCACCTTGCCCCGCAGCTGTTCTGACCTGTCAATAATCTACCACCCACATTTCTTTTCTGCTTTTTCAAGCCACATGGTCACTTTGGGGGCAAATACAACAAATCCCTTTATAGGACCTGCTGACTTCACTGTCAGCAACAGCCATTCTGAGATCTGTCAATGAAGACTAAAAGGTCAACCCTTCTAAGGTTGGGGTAGGCTGAAAAATATTTTTGGCATCTGAAAGGAATCCTCCTATCTTCCACTTTCTTTTGAGGTGCAAAAGCTTCTTAGTTTAATGTAGTCCTATTTGTTTATCTTTGCTTCCACTTGCCTGATCAGTGGTGCCTCATCTTTGACGATACCTTTAACTTCAATATTGTGGAGGGTTTGCCACATTTTCTTCCATGTGCCTTATGGATCGGGTCTGATGTTGAGGTCTTTAATCCACTTTGACCTGACTTTTGTGCATTGCATTATATATACATGAAAACCTTTCAGTATCTATATTGCAGCCTACAGTGCCCAAAAAGAGAGAGAGAGCACTTGTGAGATAAAGAGAGAGAGAGAAGAAAAAGGCAGACTGGAGGAGTGATGGGAAGGAAACTGGGGACACTGATGCTGTGCAGGGATGAGTGTTTGAACACTCTATGACTGAAACCTAATCATGAACAGTTTTGTAAGGGTCTATCTCACAGTGATTCAATAAAAATATTTTAAAATATGAAAAATAAATAAAAGGAACTCTTCTGGGTCTGGGGGAAAGCATAGGGCTTAAGGTGCTTGTCTTACATTCAGATGATTCCTGACTCCATATATGGTCCCCAAAGAGTAGGGCCAGGGGTCACTCCTGAGCACAGCTGGCTATGACCCTCCCCTCCCCCAAATATAAAAGGGCCTTTCTAAGTGTTGACTTTGCATGCATGAGACCTGTGTTTAATCTCCATAAGCTCGTGAGTTTGTGGGCACTGCTAGGAGTTACCCCAAAGCACAGTGTGAGGAGTTCTCTGGCTCTGTTTTCTTCTCTATAAAATGGAGGTAGATCCTAAGGAATTCTTTTCCCAATGGAAGACTGCAGAACAGAATGCGGGGTAGCCACGAGGAGAGGTGCTCAGCATCTCGAACTCCTGCCTTCAATGCCATACTACTGATACCAGGCTAACGTGAGTCAATAGGAGGCCCCTACGTGCCCAGGCAGGAGACCTTTCCTGCCACTGCCCTTCCCTTGTCCTGGTTCTAGCTACACGAGAACTGAGCCCAGAACCCCAAATCCCCAAACCAAAGTATTTCCAGGATCACTATGTTCTTTTGCTTTCCCCACCTCCCCAGCTTGGTTGTGAATGGAACAACAAAGCTACTCCTGTCTGTGACTAACAACCAGCCACAAAGTTCCTCTTATCTTGTCAAGCAACCGCTGTGGCCTCAGAAGTTGCAGTGTTTGTCTCTGTTTGGCCTTTGTTGCCTTGGAAACCAAGTTCTCTTTCCCACTGTGAACTGTGGGCAAAGTATTTCCCCCGTTCTGGTAGGGAAGGGCCTTACAACCTAAAGGGCTGTATGTTTACTGGGCAGTCTTCTGGGAGTCCTTTGTTTTTATCCGTTGGTGGTAGTTGAGCTGGAAATTGGGTGTGGTAAGTCTCCAGAAAGTCCCTCAGCAACTCTCGGTAGTGGACACACTGCCGAGTTTTTGTGATCTGTCAAGAACCCCCTTGCCCCATGTATGCCCTTTACAGCAAAGAAGCATTTAGAGTGTGCATGTGTTAGGGCCGGCAAATGGACTCAAGGGAGGGGGCCAATAACTCTTGGTCCCAACATTTGTGGCTTGGGAAAGTCCAGGAGTTCTGTTACATTTCAAGTGTCTATGGGTGAAGTGTCTGCACAGTAGGAAGCCGAGATTGTACAGAGTCACTCCTATTGGGGTGATGGCTTCCCCTGGGAACATGGGGTGGGGCACTTAGAACACGGCTCAGGGGTTGGATAGGATGTGGTAAAGGAAAAGAACTGCTAATCGGACACAATCAGAGAAATGCCAGGATTCCAGAGGCCACCCACGTGGGACTGGAAAAAGGATGACGGGAGAGGAGGAAATGCAAAACAAGGCAGAGGAGGGGCCCTGGGCTCAGGATCCTTGGACTTAGCTCTGCCCACATAGTTTAGTGAGTTTGGAAAGTTGAACTTTCAACACTGACCAGGGAAGAAACAGGACTGAGAGCATCTGTCCTTGCGAAGTCCCAAGACAGGCTCTTCTGTGCGTTGGTCTGAGGGAGAAGGTGCACTGTGAGTACAGTGTGTTTTTACGATGCCAGAGGTCCTGCTTATGCTCATTTGGGTCTTCCCTTCATGCCCACTCACATGTTACCAGTCCCCTGCTTTAGAGCCTCCCTCCTCAATCATGCCCTTGGGCCAGGAGGAGTATAGTCACCTCAACACTACCACAAAACAGCAGGAGCAGGGACACAAAGGGGCAGATGCACAAGGCAAGTCTCTTCAATGGGTTGAATAGCACCTCCCTCATCAGGGCTGGGGGGAGAGTAAGGGCGGATGTGGCACTGAAGGAGGATGTTGCTCATGAATATTCAATGCCCCACTTCCCAACCATACCAGGGGCCCCTACCACCCAATCCACTTATAATCAACCAGACACCACTGTTATTTTTAGAAAAAAAAAAGAGCAAAGTTTTATTGAAATTTCAAGCTACATCTGAAAAATCAAAATCCAAATCCTGGACACATTTATCAGGATTAGGTGTCAGAAAGTGGAAAGTGTTCACTGCTATAGAACCCCCTCCCCTCACCTGACAAGCTCCCTGAGCACATGACCCAGGCCCCGTCAGGTCCAAAAGCTACCCCCATCCAGTCCTTGTCCACAAGAGGATGTTAGCCCACCAGTTGTTTCGTTCTCTTGAAAGTTTTTCACCAGCATTCTCCCCCCTCAGGGAAAAAAATGTGTTTCAAAGGACACTGTGAAGTCCCAGCTGATCTCCTTTCAACCCCATTCTATGTATTCAGCACCAGTGAATGGCGTTCCATACAGGACGTCACGTACGTGTCTTCTGGGGGGTAGGGAGGGGGGCACACGGGTGACAGTAGGCAAGGCATCCATGTCTGCACTCTGAGGCTGGCCCCTTCCCTAGCTTCACTCTGGCATCTCACGTAAACCTCAAGAACAAACTAGATCGACTGGAGAAATGAACACAGTCCAAAATTAGCCATAAGAGATCAGGAACCAGCTTCCAAAGCTGGTCAGGCTGTTCAACGTGTAAGTGTATGTGTGTATGGATACATCGCTACACTAAGATACAGATCTAGCCCTATGTGTATAGATACGCATGTATGGCTATATAGAAAAACTATGCCAATACTAACCAAACAGAACTTTGTAAGCGGTCATCCCAAAGCCGTAATCCCACACTGGGCTGTGCACAAAGCCATGCAGTATATCCTACGAAACAACAGAGGCTGGCTTGGCTCAATCTCTCCCATCTGGGACCCTGCCTTCACGAGACAGGGCGAGAAGAGAGAGGTTGCCTCTGCTAAAAACACAAGTGGCTTCTTCATAGGAACAGTTGTTGTCGGGTGATGTTGAAAATGTCCACGGAAATGAAAAAAAACAGACCCCTTATACTTTCTACAGCAAACTGGCATTTCTTCTCTGACTACCTCTTCTCCTCTGCCAGTTGCGTCTAAGTTACCCAGGCCCTGGGAGCCCCCAGGGCCTGGGAGCATTAGAGGCTCACTGGCTTGGGCTTATGAGTTCCCATGCAACTCAGCCTCCAGAGACCTGCTCTTGGTCAGGGGTCTGTCACTGAAGTGGACCCAGGTGGCCATGTCCTTGGGACATCTCTTGGCACCAGCTATGCTAGGTGTAAAGTTCTCCACGTGAGATGACGCTTAGGGAGCCAAAAACAAACTGGAAAGAACTAGGTAGAACAGGTTTTGTGGCTCTGCCCACCAGAAGGACAGAGCCACTTACACCGCAGAGCCACCAGGGGCCTCAGGTGCTGGCGGGGCCTCGGGCGCTGGCTCTTCAGGGCTCAAGCGGGACTGGAACTTCTCCAGCTGTTCTGGGCTTGCCAGGGTCTTCAGGAGGGTGTTCTCACGCTCCAGCTGGGAATTCTTCTCCACCAGCTCTCGGATCTGCTCCTTCAGGATCTCCACCTCCTCTCTCACAGCATACATAAGATGATTCTTCACCAGATCCTGCAGGGAGGGAATCCCCAGAGTGGTGCATTAGTCATTTGCAGTGCCGGCCACGGAGTGGGAGGGAGGTGTGGGGGAGAGGGACTGACTCTTTACTCCTCCAGTGTGTGCCAGCATATTTCTGTGAAGTGCCCCCACCTTGGTTAAGGACAGTGGCGGGCTTGGGGGAGGGGTCACGTCTGGGAGTAGGGGGAAGCCCAGCTCTGAGTCAAAGGATTCCTGTGGCAAGTTTTGAATGATTCTCCAAGATGCCCACTGCCAAGTCCCTTTGGGGGCAGGGGAGATGTCTGAGTGGTTGGCTGGCCATGTCCTCATTTTCAAGGTACTGATGCTGCTGACAGCCTGGCTTCCAGGGATGACCAACAAGGCACCTAAGTCTTCTTTTGTAAGAAATAAACATTATTTATTTTTGCTCTTTTGAATATATTTTGCACCAAGAGGAGAAAACAGGTTGTATTTGCTCATCTCTGCCTGGTTTACCTGACCCAGCCCATAGAGGCACAGCTGCTGCCAGACAGGACACCAGCGCTGAGGGAAGATACCAGTGTTGCTGCATGCACAAGCAACTATGCTAGTAGGCTTGGGGCTCAACTAAGTGTGTGCTAACTGCTAGATGCCCTAACCCCGGCAGCCATGTCTCTTTCTCCCTCTTTCCCTCCCTCTCCCCCTGTGTGTGTATGTGTGTGTATGCGTGTTGTGTGACCTCTACCTGGAAAGGTGAGGAAGAAGGGGTGGGGTGCCCTCCTTGTTTCCACCCAACTCCTGACCCCCAGCCCAAGCTCTGCAGAGGTACTGCAGTGTATCTGCATCCAATGAGCTCTGGCCCCTGCCAACTGCAGGAGGCAGATACATGCAAATGTCTGAACACTCTGCCCTGCAGTGAGTGGCCCAGGAGGGGGCCTGCGGCTGCTGTGGGGAGAAGCCCACTCAGGGACCAGAGAGACAGGTCTGGAAATGCCCTCAAACATGCTATTCTGCTGGGACACTACTCAGGGTCTCTGCAGGCATAGGAAGCAGGCTGCAGGTCCCTCCTCGGCTCTCTCCCCAGGCTTTTGCACACACCTCCCCAGTCCTGCCTTCCCTGGTACATTTTTACATAAGCAACTGCTCGATCTGGGAATGAGAACGAAGTGATGCCACTCACCATGGCCTGCTCAATCTTGTTGTCTATGGCCACAACGCTAGCTCCAGAGGCACTGCCAAGACACAAAAAAGCAAAGGGTGTGCATTAGCCACTCGGTTCCACTCTGAAGGACCTGGCGGCGGGCAGGGGCGAAAGTCCTCCGTCAGTCCGGGCTTTCTATGGCCCAGAGTTCGGGGCAGTGTGCCCCCACCTCCAGATTTCTCGATAGCCCCCGCAGGAAGCTGCTTCCCCTCCGCCACCCAGAGCTTTGCAGGGAGCAGCAGCTCACGCGGGGAGGGACCCTAGGCACACGGCCCAGCTGGGCCTGCTTGGGACGCCCGGCGAAAGGCAAACAATGGGGGGCCTCCCCGCAGCCCTGGGAGTCGCCCGCCAGCCTCCCAGGTGCTCCCAGGGCTAACCTACCGGGCACCGAAGCGAGCTGGGAATTCCTGCCTGGCTCGGAAGCGTCCGGCCTGCTCCCCAGCGGTGCACCGCACTCGGCCGGCCCCCAGCCCAGCCCGGCCCCACCCGGCCCCGCCGCCCCTCTGCCTCCGGCCGTCTCCGCCTTGGGCTGCAGCAGCTCGTTCTCAGGGCGCAGCGGCCGCAGGGACGCTCCAACCGGCGGATCCCGGCGCGGCGACGATCTCCCCCCCACCCCCCCACCACCTCCCAGCGATCCCTCCCTCCGCCCCTTCCCAGGATGCTGCACCGCGGGGATCCGGGACGGCGGCGCGCCCTGCTCGCTCCGAGGTCCCGCCCGAGCCCGCTCTCAGCCCAGCCCCAGCGGGCGCCCCCGGCTCGGCAGCTGGGCCAGTGGTTACCTGTTATCCAGCTTAACGGAAACTACATCCCCTCCAAGCAGGGAAGAGAAGAAGGAGATGTTGAAATTGTGTAGCTGATAGACCGCCACCTCCATAGGGGTCTGATACATGTCGGTGTTCATGGCTCGGGCTGCCAGGGAGCTCTGAGCGGGCCGGGGCGGGCGGCTGGCGCGGGGCGCGGGGCTGGGCTCTGGGCGTCCGACACTTGGGGCTGCGAGCGGGGAGAAGTCTGCCGAGTGGACTCACAGCCAGGCAGAGTTTAAGGGAAGTGACTAGAGGGGGTGTCGCCTAGTGTGTCACAAACTCCACAGCCGCCAGTCCAACCCAGAGTCGGAGATATTTCGGCTCCTGCTTCTTTATATAGGAGGAGCCTGCTGCGTCACATGGCGTCAGGGGCCATGCAAATGAGTCCTGTACCGGGCTATGGGGCCAGCTAAACCACATCCCCTCCCTGAATCTTAGCTGGGACTGTAAACAGTTCAGCACTTTCTGTGCCAACTGGCATCTCCACAGAGAGCTCAGGAGGATGGGTAAAAACCAAACTGAAGCGGATTTCGAGAGAAAGGAGTCCAAATGCCATAACAAGAGGTCAAAACCATTCAGTAGCAAGGAGGGCTGGTTTGGAGAGCTTTCCTTTATGTGATAGCCAGCATATGACCCTCACCCCCAGGGTTTTGTGTTACCCCATATCACACTCCCTGATCTCCCACCCTCCCCTTCGACAGGCCCACCTTTCTTCCCACCGTCTGCCTTCTCAGCCTCTGTCCTATTCACCTATGTTGTTCCTAGCATGTCACCTCATGTCACCAGCTGACCAAACAGGCCTGCTCACCCCCCAACACCCCGCCTCCCAGGACTGCTTTCTTATATACTAACACATGCACGGACCCAAGTTGTGTACTGACGCTGCACATAGGTGAGCTAATCTGTGCTGTCCATTGTGCACATATGGTGAAGAGCATGTCCAGGAAGTTCAAAAAGTGGGGAAGCTTGCATTGGGGAGAAGCTCCAGTCAGTTGAGCGACAAGAGACTGGGAGGAGGGTGGCCAGAAGGAAAGCGAGAGCAAAGTGACCATATAATGAAAGCCCCTTTCGCTTTGGCCTCCACACCCCACTCTGCAAAGAAAATACATTCACTATTCTCCAGCATCGCACGTACCCCCTTTTTACAAACAATACAAAACAGGATTTCGAGACTTTCTGAGAAACAACAAATGGTAAACTACAAATGCAGGCTGTGAATCAACCATCTCCATGAAATGCTTGCCCTGTGCTGGGCTCAGCCATAGAGGGCAAAAGGCTACTTTAGGAACAAAAAGATTGGAGATCACAAGGAAAATAGGCGGTCGGTGCCTACTAAACATTATATGTTTCTGTCATAATAGAGTTATACTTTTCAGTCTCAAGCTTAAAGAGGTGAAAAAAAGCACCCAAAACTTGAGGTCCTTTCTATGGGCTCTTCCCTACGTGAGTCCACCTGGTGGGCAGAAGCAGAATTGCAGCCAGCAAGAGCAACCGGGACAGAAGAAGGGATAGGTGATGCAACTTGGGAGTGTTATTTACAACTTAGTGCCCTAAGGAGAACATTGGGTTCCACCACATAGATAGAGTGTGGATGGAGCTAGGACCAGTGCCCATGAATCAGTTTGTGATTCAGGCTGTGGTCCAAAGGAATACCCTAATGCAATCATGCTATTGGAAAAGTACTGGAACCTCTTATCAGCAAAAGAAGGTAATTATTATTTGCTGCAGGATATTTCTCCTAACCAGGTGCCTGGCACCGACACTCTGGCCATAGTCCCAGTTATGCCCAATCTGAAGACCTTGATTTTCCAGTAGGCTGCCAATGCAACTATACCACTGAACGGCCAGTAGTTTTCATGATGATGGGAGGTCCCCACTGGATCATATGAATAATAATAATATATGAACATGGGACATGCTATTGGCAAAGGGTCCACATGTAGAACTATCCAAGCAGACAAACTTCACTAGCTCAGGTGGATTTTTTTCCACCCCAGACTAAATGGGAGGGCACACCAATTCTAGGATATTCAGTTAACTTAAGATCAAGCTTTTCTGAACACCATGTTTGCACCAAGTGCTGCGGAGCAGACAGAAAAAAATACTTCTAAGTTTATATGTCATCAAGATCATTAGCTGGGGGGTAAAATCTTCCATAAGTTATGAGCTTAAGAGATGCTTGAATTCCCTGATAGGAATCTGCATTCTGTGCCATGAGGAGCTTTCTGGGTGCAGGAAGTCTAACTGACCACTGGCTTGTAAATCTTTCCTAAACTACTGCTCTTCATCTCACACCAAGATTCCAAAGGAGATGATGAAAAGAAAAGGGGAGAAATAAATAAGCTGGGTTGGCAGGGGGGAAAAATTACTAGGAAGTCAGGGCATAGGGCAGAAGAGAAAAAAAATTCCTCAATATGGATTCCCTTATATGGAGACAGAGACAGAAAACTCCAGGTGGTTGGGACAAGAAAGGCAAAGAGATTGCCTTTGAATTGCTTGATAATTATACTTCAATTTAAAGGGCTGAGAAATGAACACAAAGGGGCGGTGATGAACACATACTTTGCCTGCAGGAGCCCCTGGGTTTCATCCCTCCCTGAAACCCCTCCTCCCTGCCCAACACCATGGTGGGGGTGACCCCCCAACACTAGTAAGGTGTTGCCCACAAACCAAACAAAACCCAGCTGAGTTTGTAAGCCCCTAACAGCAGCTACCTTAGCTTAACATCAGCCACTGTCCAGAGCCTAACTGGCTAAGCCATAAACTCTGAGATGGAGATGTCACCATCACCATCATCATCATCATCATCATCATCATCATCATCATCATCTTATATGGTCTCTGTGGCTTACCTAATTAACTGTGGAGCTGGATTTCCAGCCCAGGCTTCCTGGCCTAAAGACCAGGTATGTGCCCATGATAAGTTAGGTGAAGAAACGGTCTGGGGACAACAGCAGGGCTACTGTTGGACAGAGGGTCCAAAGGTTGACTTTGAGCTGGAGGCAGAGGCACCTTTGCCAACACTCATGGCCCCAGGGTCCTGGAATAATGGCCAAGTTGGTCTATATGAGGTCTGGAAGGAGGCTGTGTTCACTGAGTTCATTTCAAAAAGAAGCCATGCAAGCATCCAAGACATTTTTTCAAGGAACTGTTCAACTATACCCGTGGTGCCCAGAATGGAGCCTGTCATCCTGGATGTATGATCTCCCAAATAAGGTATGGAGTCTTGGCATCATTACAGTTTAATCATACCTCCAGTTCCTAGGGTCCCACCAACTGGCACCCAAGTGACCCCCCTGATTCCTGCTATGCTTTGCTTTTAGGACAATGAAGATAATAACTGCCTCTCACTCCTCCCCCCAAAAAAGGCTCCTGTCAGGGATTTTGTTTTTAAAAAAACAACTCTGAAAATATATCTGAGGTTAGGCTCAATCTTATCCAACAGCCAGGGAGCTGGTCCCCTTGACACCTCCAGCCCATAAATCTAGAGAAAAGTACACCCCATTAGCAAACAATGGGTCTATCTCACTCAGCACAGAGCTGGCAGAAGGGAGACAATGGAAGTAAGTGTCCTCATGGAAAGATTCTCAAACTAGTGAGGAAAGATGGGGGGTGGGAAGGAGGAGGAGAGGAGGGGAGTAGGAGGAATTCACCAGGGCTTTCTGTTTAACCCTGGGCACACCAGAGAATTTCTTGACCCAGAATAGCTGCACCAAACCTTGCCATGAATGGAAGCATCTTCTGGGTGAGCATCAGAAATCTTATCTAAGTTTTCTGAGCAAAGTGCTGATCCACGACGCTCTCCTAAGAAATGGGCCACAGTGACTTAGGGAGTCTATAGTTCAGCAGCCCCCAAACGCACAAAAGATTCCAGATGCCCCCCTTTTGCCCCAGCATATCCCCAGCACCTAGCTTCTCTGTGGGATTCTGCAAGAAGACAGAGGTAGCCCCTTCCTGTTCCTTAGGGGTGACATTCTAGATGGAAGAAGGTGGAATGAGGACCCCAGGGGCCAACGCTGTCTATTTCAGGAGGTCCTGAGTTTACTCGTTCCCTTTTATTGTTTTAATGTTGTTTGGGGGGAAACACCTAGATGAGCTCAGAGCTCACTCCTGGCGGGTTGGCGAACCATACAGGGTGCCAGGGATCACTTCTGGGTCAACTGCATGTATGGCAAGCACCTTATCCACTATAGTATTGCTCTGCCCCTCACCCCCACACACTGATTCG